ACAGATGATAAATAATAATGACTGTTCTCAGGCACAAATATACGGATATGCCCTAAGGCAGCGCCGGATCGGTACAACAAATCAGTGTGAGTCTTTAATGTTCTTATACAGTCCATTCCACTTTTCTTTGTGTCACTTTACAGATAATGCACTTTACAGATAATCCAGTTTGCAGATAATTAAATTTACAGATCATCCAGTTTGCAGATAATTAAATTTACAGATAATTCACTTTACAGATTATGCTTATATTTTAATTGTATTGTTTAGCTTCTGCGCTTTTGTATTGATATGTAGCAGATTTATGTCGTATTTCTCCTAGTTTGTAATGTTGTCATTCTTAGTAGTGTGACACAATCTTGTTTATTTCTGTCTGCATGTATGTTGGAACAGGAATTTTCTCATAAGTCTCATTGTTTTTAACATTGTCTCCTAGTAGCAAAAGATAAACGACTTGTCGTCCATGTACATTTACGGAAACGTTTTACCTCGTAACGTTAGCTAATGGTTATATAAATAAATATAAATATATGCAGTATGTAAATAGGCCGGGAATCTTTAGGGTAGTGGGTACTGTAAAGGAAATGAAAGGAAACCTACCGTGGGGGTCGCTGGAAGACAGACGTAGAATGTCCAGACTGTGCATGATGTACAAAATGACTAATAGACTGCTGGACGTATCAACCACTAAGCATATGATACCAGCCCAGAAAAGAACGAGAAACAGCCTTGCCTTCAAATATCAGAGTTATCAACCAAGAATGGATGTGACATATTTAGTGTCTTACATGCGAATTTTACGGAGATGTTTCGTAAAATAATATTTTTGTCTATTGCATAGAGTCCAATCCACGTCACCGCGCGGGTGCTTGCTCCCATTGTTTCGACTTTTTTTAAATGTTTTCTAGAAGAATTTCATAGTTTTTAAACATTTCGAACTTGATTTTAACTTTGTAAACAGTTTTCCCTAATCATAAAACATTCGAAACATTCTAAAAGCCATGCACGATGTTTCGAAAGAATTCTAATAAAATAACCCGCGGTACCCGGAAGTCAGTGTGCCGAGCTGGATTCCCATGGGCCATTTCCATATATATGCGCACCGTGCTAACATTGGACGGTAAAACACAAAACAACGCTAGAAATCAAGCCCGATAACGAAGCTGAAGCTTCTTGAAACCGACGAAAATACGAAGAAAGCGCCGTAGGAAATGTGTCAAAAAAGTCCGACGGGGCTGGCTCTGGGAAAAACCGCCGCGCGAGGTCTAAACATAAACAGCCGCCTGTGAAGCGGCGATTAGCGCTTGATTGATAACAGGCAATCTTCTTTTTGGAAAATTTCGAAACTTTTCGAATTTCAAATTGTGTTTGTAAACATTTTGAAATTAAGATCCCATTTGATTGCCACTTTCAGAATTTTTGCAAATGATTCTAACATTTTCGAAAACATGCTACTCAGGTACTTATATTTTTATAATAACTTCAGAATATTTCTAAAATTTTCGAATTATTTGAAACTAATTAGAAAATTTTAGAAATACGATTAAAAAACCCGCACGGTGACTTTGAATGGACTATATCCGCATGGATAAAACATGTTTATGAGAGTTCCCTCGATGGCGCCTTGGTGCAGACATTGTACATTGGTTTTGAAATAAGTTTTAATAATAACTTTATTGCGCAACAGTTGTACAATGTACAAAGTATAGCATCTTCAAACATAAGCAAGTACATATCAACTACATTTTCATGAGGCTAACCTAATACACACACTACCAAAAATGCTTTTTCTTGTTTTTCTTATTTTCTCATGGGAAGAAAATTTTTCTTTGGGGGAGAATAATAAGAAAAAAATAACAAAAAAAATAAATTTTCTGTATACCTACGTTCTTGCACCAAGAACAATTTTCTCATTTTTCTTGAGTGGAGATAATTTTTCTAAAATAGGCTTCTTTAAATCTTGATTTTTCTTTGGTGAAGAAATATTTCTAGAGGAGATTCTAACTTACAAGATTAGAATTCTAGTAATCTTGAAATTTCTTTAGTAAAGACAATATTTCTAGGGAAGATTCTAAGTTACAAGATTAAAATTCTTTTAATCTTAAAATTCCCTCAGACTTAGTTAAATTTTCTTATCTAATCTCCATGGAAGATTTCTTTCTTACCTGACATCACAATGGTCAGATTTAAGATTTTTTTTCTTGTGTATGTCAAAAAATTTCTAGTTCGTGTTACCGAGAAAGATTGAAAAAGGCCATTCTTGTTTTTGTTAGCAATGTTTAAGAAAATACAAGAATTTGGTTCTTGTCTTTCTTGGGAAACACTGATTGGAAAAGCAAGAAATTTAATTATCTAAATCTATTATTAGAATAAAGCTCTGCTTAGTGTTTCTTTCTTAATGTTTCTTGTTTTTCTTGACTAGAAAGCTTAAGAAAGATCATTCTTGTTTTTCTTGGCAACATTTAAGAAAATACAAGAATTAAGTTCTTATCTTTCTTGACAAATACTGATAAGAAAAAAAAGAAAGTCTGATATAAAATTGATCTTTGATTAGGCTGAAGATATGGCTAGTATTATATTCTTAAACATTCTTGATTTTCTTCCCTAGAAAGTTTAAGAAAGGCCATTCTTGTTTTTCTTAGCAACATTTAAGAAAATACCAGAAAGGTTAAGAAAGATGATTCTTATTTTGCCTGGTGATGTTCAAGATGATGTAAGAACTTTTTTCTAGTTTTTTCTTGTCATGTGACCTTTTCTAAACCCCTGATTGGTTGATTCAAATCCCAGAATGCAGTTAGGGGGTTTTGAACATAAGTCAGATGTAAGAGCCGTGCTGCTACTTATTTTTGTCAGTTACTGACTCATGTCAGATTTGAAGTCAAAATCAAATCAAAAAGGACCTTGTGTACATGTGAAGCAATGGTGATCGTGGTCAGCTTGCTGAAGAACCAACTTTGCAACAGAAAAAGCATGAAACCAAACAGATTGAAGGTAAGTGCCGCCCCCCTCCCACCTATAAGA